CCCCCTCAAATTGGCTCTTCAGGTTGAACCGAATTTCCGGACAGACAGACAGACACAGACAGACAAACAGACGTTGCCGTTTATATATAGTAGGATTTTATTTATTAGGTGCACATAACGGGGCTCCTGTCAACCAGACCTGCTCTCGATGGGGTGGGGGGTATTTTCACGAGGCATCTACCAGTCCAGTAGTTGAAGGGAGAAGGTAAAGGAGGAGGGATCAGAGAAGGAAGGAAGGAAAAGGAGGGAGGAAGAAAAAAGGAAAGAGAGGAGAGGCTTCCCGGTTGACAAGTGCCCTGAGACGAAACGCACCACACTACACTAAAAGATGCACGCTACCGTAACCCTAAATTCAGACGCCTAGTTTTTGAAAGTTTCTTTTCCTTTTCAAGAGTTTTTCTTCCGTGTTTTTGTTGTTTTTCGTATTCTTTTCATTGCATTGGATGATACCCACTACTGGGAGATGTGATAAAGGAATTTGTGAGCCAGGGGTTGCACAGAGACCGCAGGAAGGTGTGACTGCCAGGGAGCGATTTTGTTTATAGTGTTCTTGAGGACTCTTCTTGCTTTTTTCTTCTTTGGGGAATTACTTATCAGCTACTGTTTCATAATTGAAAAGCAACTATCCATGACACTTTTATCGCTGTCTGTCGCTGTCTTTAAGCAGAACAGTTGTGCTTATCACATCAAATGAACTGTAACTAGTACCTTGCAATCTGACGGCTTCCATTCACCACCGGGCTTCAGCTCAGGATGAGCGGCGGAAACCTCCGCTTCTTGGAGATTTTCGATGAGCAATACAGCCTGCGGAAGCGAACCCGCCAAATCGGGAACGAGTTCCGGATCTGGACAAAGATCTCCAGGCTGCCTGAATCTTATAGATAATCACAACTCTTGAAAAGACGAAGAAAATTCAGAACCCAAAACTCTGCAAGGGACAAACACTTCAAGATGTAATGCTTCCACCAGATGTGCATAACTTAGCATTCCTCTAATGAAGAGCTTGATCTTGCTGGTTTGATATCGTATTAATGATTCACAGTACGATTACAAAGTAAAGAAATTGATAGCTAGAATCAGAAACTCCACACGGTGAGACTAGACGACATCAAAACT